AGGACATGGAGAGAGGGAGCAGCTGAGGACTCTAGATTCATGGAAAGAGACGGACTGAATGCTGGCGACCAGGAGGCAGACTTGCAGAATGTACCCTTTGGTTGTTTAAATGAGTATATATTCCTGAGTGCTTTGTGTACATCACCCCCAAAAAACAAAAACAAAAACCAGAGGGAATAGAAGCAAATACGGTCGAATGATGATGCATGGAGGAGATTGTAATAATTGCAATAAAATGATAGGTGTAAAACTGATGTTCTCCCATGTAAACTATCACTCAATTCACAACAAAAATAAATGTTTTTAAGTCAATAAAAGGTTTATATGCAATATATATAGGAGCTCTGGTAGTGTAGTGGTTACGAATCGGGCTGTGAACCGCAAGGTCAGCAGTTCGAAACTACCAGCTGTTCTGCAGAAGAAAGATGAGGCTTTCTGCTCCCGTAAAGATTTACAGCCTCGGAAACCCTGTACAGGGTCGCTATGAGTCAGAACTGACTCCACGGCACATAACAGTGCAATATATATATGTGTTTATTTCAGGAGGGTGTGTGATATGCCAATGGTTCTCTTCAGTCCACACTGAGGGGGGGTACCCCACAAAAGTTTCTGATTTCAAGGGTGAACGCAGGTTTAATTACAGAATGGTTAAATGTATGGAGACTGAGGTCAAACTGACTGGAATTCAAACCAGGGCCTTGTTACCAGGTGACTCTGGCAAGCTACTTGTCTTGATTTCCCTTCTCCAGCGGATAGTGCTAACTATGCCAGAGGACTGCTGTCAGGTTAAATGCAATGTGGTTGGATCACCTTTCTTTAGAATGGCTACAAATAGGGGTCTTTTTTGAGTCGATTGACTAGGCAGCTGTCTTCACACTTCTTGGCATAGATGAATGAGTGATTTCAGCTTCGCATCTGTTTGTTGAAACATCTCAGTTGGGAGCCCATGAATTTCTGAACCTGTTTTTTTTTTTGCCAATGCAATGCATTGAAGATGCAGTTTGGATTTCTTCCGTCAAACTTTTGGCTCTTGATCATATGCTACCTCCTGGAATGGTTAAACGTCAACCAATTCTTTTTGGTATAGTAAATCTGTATTCCTTCCATCTTCTCTTTGTGCTATTCAATGTTTTGTCCATGTTGTTGTTGTTGTTTTTGTTAAGTGCCGTTGAGTCGGGTTCTGACCCATAGCGACCCTGTATAGGGTTTCCAAGGAGCAGCTGGTGAACTTGAACCTCAGGTCTCCCAGTTCAAGTGGACTTTACAGTCCTGCTCATAAACCCACAGTGCCACACCAGGACTGTCCTCAGACTCCTTCAATATTATACCTCGAAGTCTGAATGTTTTCTTCAGTTCATTCAGATTGCGAAATGCTGAGTGTGTTCTTCCCTTTTGGTTTTCTAACTCTGGGTGTTGCACATTTCATTATAATACGTCACTTTGTCTTCTTGAGTTGTCCTTTGAAATCATTTGAAAACTCTTTCATTTAATAATTTCTTTGGTTCAAGATCAAGTTTCAAAGTCTCTTCAGACATCCACATTGGTCTTTTCTTTCTTTTATTTATAACCTCTAGCTTTCTTCATGTATGATGGCCTTGATATCATCTCACAACTCGTCTGTCTTTGGTCATTAGTGATCAATGCACCGTATCTGTTCTGGAGATGATCTCTAAATTCAAGTGAGATATACTCAAAGTTGTTCTTTGGCTGGGGTGGACTTGTTTTAATTTTCTTCAGCTTCAGCCTGAATTTGCATAGGAGCAATTGATTGTTTCACAGTCTACCACTGGCCATGTTCTGACTGATGATATGTAATCTAGCATACATTGAATATGATACTAACATGGGCAATAATTTAATCTAGTAAGTATTCAAAACTACTGGAAATATGTAACAGAAAGTTTAAATTTATGTATCAGGTAAGTTTCACTTTTTATTGTGTGTTGCTTGGGACATGGTGCTTACTGTCACCATCTATGCTAATAAACAAGGGATTAATCCAGTCGTTTCAGACGCATAGCAACTCTGTATAGGGTTTCCAAGGAGACTGAACCACCCACCTTGTGTTCAAACCGACCTTACAATCCAGTGCTTATCCTACATCACTACACCAGGAGTCCATTAGGCACATTGTTGTTAAGTTTGCTTTGCAAGTAAATATTGAATTTTGCATCCTCTGAATTAGGCACAGTAAGAAGATGTAAATTTCAATATTTATTTACAAAATAAAATGTTTGTTTTGCAACCATGAGTGTTTTTCTAAATTCATCTTCCAAGAAAGCAACAAAGAGCATTTATCATAACGTTACATTTATACTTGATCAGAATACTTATGTGTCCCCGTGTAAGGCGATTAGACAAGATTTTCTATTTCCCTCCAGTCAGCAGTTCGAAACTACCAGCTGTTCATCGAGAAAATGAGGCTTTTTGCTCCCGTGAAGATTTACAGCCTCGGAAATCCGGTACAAGGTGGCTATGGGTCGGTATCCACTGCATGGCACATGACCACCACCATACGATTTCCCAGGAGAGGCCAGCAGGTTTCAACCTTAGACCTTGCAGATTAGCAAGCAGTGCTTATCCTACAGCGCCCCACCAGGACTCCAAATGATGCACCTGATAATAATGACATTTTCCTTTTCATTTCAGACTCATCAGGTGTAACTTCGCACCCAATTCTCGCTCACCGACCTCAGAAGACGGCAGGCAGTGTTAAGACCACGTGACTCGTGACGTCTCGGGCCCGGTCCTACATCAAGCCCACCACTCAGTGACAGCAGTAACCCAACTGTGTAGACACAGAATCAAACAACGGGAGGTGAGTGAGATGGAAAACACTCGTGGAGACCACGAAGGGGCCTTCAAGCGCTTAACCAGTGACCCACCAGGGTTAGGAAAACCCACGCGACAACCACAAGCACACGAATCACACCAACAACAATCCTACGACGGGACGACTCTGCAAGCGCAAAACCCAACTTCCGGGTGGCGCGCGCAAAGCCCGACTTCCGGGTGGCGCGCTCGCTGCGTCCTGCGTCCCCTCGCCGGCGCGTCCTGCGCGCAGAGAACCGGCTTTGGCGCGAAAGTCTAAAGCGGGTAGTGGAGGCGGAGCTGCGCGTAGCGGGAAGAAGTCTGAGGACTGATGCCTGAAAGCCGAGCGCGCCGCCGCCGGGAGGAGCCGGTCAGTGGCGGCGGCGTGGCGACGGTCCGTCCCCTTAGGTCTCGCCGGGGCGGGGGTGTCGCCGCCTCGGGGACGCTTCGGATGGGAGCCCCACAGAGTCGGGGAAGTGGCCTACCCGGATACAGGGAGCCCTTAGGGCAGGCCGGGGCTCGGTACCCCAAGGGGCTGCCCGAGCTGGGCGTGGAGGCTTTGTGAGGGTGGCTTGGGGCCCCGGCTGTCAGCGGTCGGCCGCCTGGCACGTTTCCGAGGCTCAGTCTGTACAGGAGCAGATTGCCAGGTCTTTCCCCCTCGGAGCGCCTGGGGGCGGTTTGAACCACCGCCCTTTCAGTTAGTAGTCCAGTGCTTAGCCCATGCGCTACCCAGCGTTTTTCACTTGGAGCTCTGGTAGCTAGTGCTTACAAGTCGGGCTGCGAACCATAAGGTCAGCAGTTCGGATCTACCAGCTGTTCCGCGGAAGATTTACATCCTCAGAAACCCTCAGCAGGGTCGCTGTGAGTCGGAACCGACTCCACGGCACATCACCCCCACCTGGAGCCCTGGGTGGTGCTGCGGGCTAATGCGCTCCACTGCAAAGTCAGGTTGAAGCTCAAGGTCGGTGGTTCAAGCTCACCAGCCGCTCCTTGGAAACCCTATAGAGGGTTGCTATGGGTCTGGACTCCTGACTGGTCCTGGAGGAGAAACACAGGACTGCTAACCACAAGGTTGGAGGTTCAAACTCACCTCCGCCCCACTGAAACCCTAGACAGTCTCACTCTGGGTGCGAACGACTGATTGGACAGCACTTAACAAAACTAACCCTGAAGTTGGTAGTTCATATCCACCAGCTACACCTTAGAGACTCTAGACAGTGTAGCTATGAGTCAGAAATGCCTTAACAACAGAGGCTGCTAACCTCCAGGTCAGCAGTTCAAACCCTCCAGCCTCTCCGAGGGAGAAAGTTGAGGCTGCCTGTTCTGGTAATGATTGGCACTCAGGAGCCCCAATGGAACAGGTCTCCTTGGTCTTACAGAGTCACTGAGTCAGAATTGACTGGATGCTGGCTAATTGGAGGAGCCCTAGTGGCACAGCGGCTAAGCACTGATCCCTCCGCTGCTCCATGGGAGAACGACCTTGCAATCTGCTCCCTAAAATTTACAACAGAGGAAACCCTATGGGGCTGTTCTCTGTCCTGTAGGGTCACTGAATCAGAATCGACCTGACGCATTGGGTTTGGTTTTGTTAAGTGCCATTGAGCTGGTTCCAACTCATAGCAAGTTTGTATAGGGTTTCTGAGCAGCGACTGATGAGTTTGAACAGCCAACCTTACAGTTCAAACATCTTGCAGTGCAGCGCATTAACCCATGATGCCACACTATGTCGCTGGGTTTGATTTAGTGGCTACTTCGATTAAAACTAAACACTGGAGTTCTGGTGTGGTGCTGTAAGATAAGATAGAAAATCTTGTTCTTGAATCGCACTGTTGTTAAGTGCTACCAAATTGGTTCCAACCCATAGCGACTCTTTATGGGGTTTCCAAGGAGTGGCTGGTGAGCTTGAACCGCTGACCTTGTGGTTCAAACCTACATTACAGTCCAGCGCATTAGCCCACAGAACTACAGCAAGACTCCATGTCTTAAGTGGCTGATGGTTGTGTACTGGACAGTAAGGTGGCACCAGTGGCCACTTGATTGGATTATTGTCCCTACAGATGGGACTGAGGTAAACTTTAGGCAAGTTCAGTGTTTCGGATTGCACCTCAGATTCTCCTCATTGTGAAGCGCATTTTGATCTTGTTTTGCAGCATCACTGATCAAGCGTTGGAGTGATGCTGCAGGTGAAAATGCTTGTTGGAGCCAAAGAGAGGCCAACCTTCTTTGAGATTTTTAAGACCCGATGCGACAAAGGTATTGACCAGTTTCCTTATAACTTGATCCCCGTGCCTCTGAAAATGTTTTCCTTATAACTTGATCCCCGTGCCTCTGTTCAGATGCTTGCTTGACTGAAATCAATCCAGTCCTCCTCATTTTTGTTTCCACTTTACTCCATATAGGATCATATGTCAGTTAAGGGCATCATTGCTTACAGTTAACAAAATGAGATCGACAGAGGCCCTTCTTGGTAGTCCAGAAACTCCCTTGATTGGCAGTAGGAAGAACTGTTTTTAAAGCATTACTAGGAGCCCTGGGGTCACAACGGTTAAGCACTCGGCTCCTGACTGCAAGCCAGAAGGTCATCATTTCAAACCCACCAGCTTTTCTTCAGAACAAAGATCAGCCAGTTGTCATCGTTAAGATTCATAACCTAGGAAACTCTCTGGAGCCGTTGTACCCTTTGTGAGTCAGAATCAACTCGCTGGCAGTGGAGGAGTCCTGGTAGTGCATGGTTAAGTGCTGACCTTCTAACCGAAGGTTGGCAGTGGGAGAAAAGGCCTAGCTATCTTTTAAACATGGCGGCCACGAGAGCCCTGTAGGGCAGTTTTGTCATGTGACTGCACTGAAGCCACTCCCAGCAGTGATGCGTGGCCATGAGCACCCTGTAGGGCAGTCTCGTCTCACGTCAGGAATTGCAGCGAGGAACTTTTTTTTGAAATGCTGTAATTCACTCAAAAATAAACCCGGGTTTCTATGAAAACGCAGTACATTTTTCAATAAAAATAATAGTTGGACGTTTTGTTACTCTCTTCCATGTGTGACTTAGAAGAGAGCTGGAGTCTCCTGTTTCTTCAATGGTCACATGTTGTCTTGGCTGAAATAACTGAAGACAATCCCGTTTTACGCAGCTATGTCATAGAAAAAAGGATTCTTTTAGTTATTGTTAACTGTCATTACGCAGAACTTTGGTTCTGACTCATAGTCACCCTGTTGGGTGTCCAAGAGCCAAGTTGCCAAGCTTACCAACATTTTAGTAATCATCGGAGAGCTCACATTTTTACCATAGACTGCAAACCCTGTCTTGTTTCCTGATAGTGACTCACGTCATATGGTTTTGAGAACATGTGTGAACAACGTGGCTGGCAGGTGTTCTTTCGAGTACAAACGGAGTTTCGTGAAAAAGGCGCTTGTTCCACTCATGCTCATGACCGCCATGGTGCCTGTGCACACGTCGCGTTGTGTCTCAGGGAATATAAAACAGGTTGGCTTTCGTAACAGTTAACTTGTGCTCTTTTCTTCAGGAAACTGGCATTCAAAAAGAGTTTTTCTATTTCAAGTCTCAAGTCTCTGGTTGTGAGGAGTAAAATGGCAACTCGTGCAGTTTGGTGCCACGTCCCTGACTGCTGTGTTGGCACCTTTGTGCAGATGTCAGTGAAAAGGCACATGACGCCTGAGTAGTGTTACGAAAATTGTTAGGACCTTGGGGACCTCCTGAAAGGGTCTTGGGGACCAGCCCTCCATGGTCCTCGGTCCACACTTTCAGAACCACTACTCTACAGAATGGATAGATCACTAACAGCATATCTTTCCTTATACTTACTTGAGTGTCTTCATGTCCTTTGTCCTTGTGAATTTGTCACAGATACTCGTGTGGTCCCTATAATTATTTGAATCGTATCTGTGGAATGTATTCTTACTGGGAGTGGTTTTGGGTTCTGATTCGTCAATATAAAATAGAAAAGTAAAGTTAAGATAGCTAAGAGAATATTCCTGGTAACTTTGGGAACCCTTTGTTGTATCTTCCAGATTGTAAGAGCATGTTCGTATTTCCCAGCAGCAGTCATTCACAGTCATGTAGGAACCTTTCTGTGTCACGGATCACAGTCACACTGGGATTTTTCTTTTTCTTACAGACTTAGGACCAATAAGCCTTACTTGGTTTGAGGAACTTTCTTCAGAAGCACCACCATATAAATCTGAACCTGTTGAAGAGTCTCAGTGTAAAATCCGTAGTTATGAACCAAACGTTTTCAAGACACCACAAAGAAAACCCTGTTATAACCAGTTGGCATCCACTCCGCTCATGTTCAAATATGAAGGTATAAGTCTGTGACTGTCCTGGTCGCCTTTAAAATCTCTATGTGAATACACAGTGCTGTCGCTTGCTCGATGATGATTTTAGTGCACATAAAAACCTAGGGTTTCTTCTGATATTTAACCAAGCTGTATTTCTCTGGGTTCTCCAGAGGTCAGTGAAGCACATTTTTATCCGTTTGTTATAATGAGCAAATATTTCCTTGTATGTTGTTGGTACCAAGTGGAATACATAGTAGATATTTAGTACATACTTGTAGAGTGCTGTAGACAGCCCGATGCTCACACAGCTGTCTACAGAGCTGTAGTTTTCAAAGGGAGATTCCTGGACCATAAGCGTCCCTGGGGTGCTGGTCGAAAGGTGCCAGGCCTCATGCTCAGTCTATCAAATTAGAAACTACCTCCCCAGCTAGCGCCCATGCATCTGTAGTTTGAACTAACTTGTTTGGAAAAGGAAGACAGAAACTTGGGAGATAAGTTAAACCAAATGAAACCTACTGCTATGGGGTAGATACCGATTCTTAGTGAGCCCTGCAGGACAGAACAGAACTCCTTAGGGATTGCCAGACTTTAAATTATATGGGACAGGCAGCCTCCTCTCCCTCGGTAACGGACCTTCAGTTATCTGCGCAAATCCTGACCTGCCCCACAGCACCACCCGGGCTCCTTATGATGTTGAAAGTGGATATAAAACCTGTTACCATTCCGACTCCACGGCACATAACCACCACCACCACCACTGAGTCAGTTCCGACTCACAGCAACCTGATCTATAGCTTCTAGGGTTGTCATCTTGACAGAGGCGGGTGGCCGCATCTGTCTCCCACAGAGCCGCTAGTGGGCTTGAACCACCAAGTTTCCGTTAGCCACCAAGCACTTTCACTGCTCCAAGGCTCAGTTGGGTAGGGAGTGGGAGCATAGTGTGAGTGTGCAGGATTGAAAAGACTCAATGGCTGTGACAGCCTGACTGCTGGGAGACCAGGAGGGGCAGCAGGCTTGGGAGGGCAAAGGGTGAACGAGACTGAGCTGTGTTGTGCACTGTGCTTTAGGACGCCAGTGGGGTGAGGAGGGGTGCTCTACACTTGGGGGAATGCAGGCTGGAAGGGAAGATGGTAGGCACAGCTGTCAGTGATCCACTCAGGTGCGCTATCTTACCTTGCTTCAGCTCACAGGTGAGGTCCTCAAGCTATTCGAGAAACATTGATTAGGCGTGAATTTGTTTTTGCCTGGTTAATTCTTAAGTCCGTTTTCTTTCTGATTAGAAGCGCTATGCAAGAGAACACGGAGAAGATGACAACAGTCCGGTTAACAAAGGAGATGGTTTGTCAGAGTGGGGCTTTTAGTGTAGTGACATGTGTATAAACAGAAACAAACCCGGAGTGACCCTAGAGGATGGACAGCCTCATCTTTTCTCCTGAGGAATAGCTGTTGGGTTTGAACCCTTCACCCATTGTACCACCAGGACTCCGTAGTTACGTGCTTGCGTTGAGTTACTGGGGATTCTTTCTGTCTCCTGGGAAATGATAACATAGTGAGACCTGTGTCTGTGCTGCTACAAATAGTTTTAGATTTCTCTGGTCTTCCTTTTAACAACATAGATACAAATTATGTTTTCCAGAACTTCTTTAAATTAGAGATTATATGATCTAATCAGTGAAAGCACTATTTTTTGTTGTTGTTGAGAATATGCACAGCAAAACACACCCCACCTTCATAGTTTCTGCCTGTACAATTCAGTGGCATTGACTACTACACTATACAAGCTATGCAAACATTCTCACTCTCTTTCTCTGAGTTGTTTCTCCCCCATTAACATGAATTCACTGCCCAGTAAGGGTCTAGCATTTGATCTGCTATTGTCCATTTGATTCCATATAAATAGTTCTGGTTTTTTCAAGTTTTTATTGTGAACTGAGTGATTGTTTACATGGGAGAACATCAGGTTTACACCATCGTTTCATTTCAGTGATTACAATCTCCTGAAAGCACTTTTTAAGAGCATTTTATTGTTATCAAGTGTCTCAAGTACCAAATTTGTAGTAGCCGTCCACCACTTGAGGAGCTTGTGGGGTAGGGGGCTAAGTGTTGCACTGCTAACAACAAGATCAGCAGTTCAAACCCACCAGCCACTTCACAGGAGAAGATCGAGGCGGTCTGTCCTCGTAAAGATTTGTAGTTTGACAAACCCCACGGGCAGCTCAGATCACTGGGTGTTGGGCTTGTCATGATGGCAGGACCCTGCCCTACACAGTCGAACATGATGTCCTCTGACACAGGAAGTAGTTGTTGTGCAGTGCTGTGGGGTCAGTTCTGACTCATGGTGACTCTGGAGTGGGTCTCTGAGGAGGCGCTGCTTGGTTTGAACTGCTGACCTTGTGGTTAGCTGTCCAGTGTTTGTTGTACAATGTCACACCAGGATTCAGGCCTGTTGAAAAACTGTTCATTCGATTTGATAGAACTGCCTACAGCTTCAGGAGCCCTGCTCAAATACTGCTGTTTTCAAAAGCAGATGTGTCCAACATGAAAAGGATTATCTTGTGCACATTTGTATTGTTCTTTTTTGTGATGTGTCATTTAGAACCCTTTGTCGCTCATTTCTGTTGACTCATTCAGTCAACCAATGGTTGCAGAGTGACCCTAACCTGCCAGACATTGTTGTTGTCATTAGGGATAGAGTGGTGACCAAGGCAAGCTCCATGTCCCTGGGAGCTCACGGTCTCCTAGGGGAGATCTGGACAGTGGATGACACAGAAGGGGTGGGCACTTCATCTCACCTAAAAGGTCAGTTACCATGCAGTTGATGCTGATTCATGGTGACCACGGGTGTCATTTTCAGTGGCTGGTTTTTTGAAAGGAGGTTACCTGGCCTTTTTCTTCTAGGCATTCCTGGGTGGATTTGAACCTCTAACTGTTCAGTTAGCAGTGAAGAGCTGCACCATCCAGGGACTTGTTCATCTTTTTTTTTTAGGTTTCTCAGCTCTATTCTTTTTTTTTTTTTTAATTTAAGGTTTTTATTGTGGATTGAGTGAAAGTTTACAGGGCACATCATCAGTTTTACATTCAACAATTCATATAACTTGTTTCTTTACATTGATTATAATCCCCTCCATATACCATCAGTTAAAAGTATTTCTCTTTATCCACGTTAGCTTTTTTTT